TTTTTGCCCCCAACACGTGTCCCCGTCACTTACGATATCTCCACACAGCCCGTGGGAGTGAGCCTCCGAGCCCATGACAACTGACTTGGGTTAGCAAGGCTCGCACTAGAGCTCTAAAAATAGTTGTGTAGACAGCACTTTGAAACACTGCAGCTCAGATTGAAGCTCCAGCACTAAAACCTAGAGAGGAGAGTAGGCTCTCAACCCAGGTTGGGAGGCTTGCTCCTGTAGGCTGTGTAGACATTTTCTTAGCTCCCTTCTCCCCTTGACATGCTTCCCCAACGCTTCACTCCATTTTCACCTCAACATTCTTCTCCTGCGGACCGCTCTAATACTTGGCAGTGTCTCCAGTCTTTTCTCTTCCTCCAAGTAGCAGTGGACTCCAGCAGAGGGAGAGACAAGGGCTCCTATTTGTTTCCAGCTGCTTTTACAGGCATCTATACTCTTCCTTGCAATGAAGAGCTCTGTCAACTGCAGGAGCAGCTGGAAACAAAAACAGCCGGCACAGCTCTCTGTAGACTCACCGCAAGTGTTCCAAGGAGTATATCTGGAAATCTTTGATGAGGGTTAAGGGTTGTCTCCCTGCCTGATTTTTCATTCCTGAGCACCTTACACACAAAACAATACATATGTGCTTGGTGGCAACAACTGAATTTTTGCTGTTGTTTTTGTGAAAGTAACCACCATTCCCTTTTTTACAGTCACTTGTTGGATCAAGAGGAGCCAGCAGCAACTGTCAGTTGTATCACTTTTTAAAACCATTTCTGATTGATTTTTTTTAAAAGTAAGTTGTGTTTTAGTCCCCAGAAAGATGTTTTGCATGTTTCCACATCTTTCATTGCTCAACACTGAAGCAGTTTTTCCCTAGCAGTGCTCAACTATTGTCACTAAGTTCTCAGTATTCCAACAAAGGGCACACTAAGCATCAGAGAAGATACAAAGGACAGATACTGATGGGAAGTACAGAGAAAGTTTTAAGGAGGATTTTGAAGGAGGATAGTAAGTTAGTTTTGCAGATGTTCATGGGGAGTTCCTACCATGCATGAGGGGCAGCATGGAAGAAAGCACAAAGGTGCTTGTATGAAAATTTAACATGTGGGCTATGGAGGCTGGTATCATGGGTCAATCTGAGACAAAGTCCACATCTTGATAGTGAATGAGAGGACAAGAAAGGTGAGGACAGGCCACAAAGGGCTTTGAAAACAAAGGCAAGTATCTTATGTTTGATTCAACAGAAAAAGAGATGCAAAGAAAGGGCTGACATGGTCAAAGTGATGGGCTAGAAAAAGTATATTTGCAGGAGAATTTTGAATAGACAGGAATGGGGCAAGATTGCATTTTTCAAGGACAGGAAAGGATGTTGCAGTAATTTACACATGATATGATCAGACCTGGTCAAGAGTTTTAGCTGTGTGGATGGAAAAGAAAGGCATATTTTAGGTATGTCATGCAAAAAGAATCTGCAAGATTTAGACATAGCCTGGTCGTGAAAACCAAAAGAGGTCCAATTTGAAAATGATGCCCTGGTAAGGGCCTGAGCAACAGGCAAGATGGTGGTGCACAGGTTATCCACATTGTTTTTCCATTTTTATTAGATTTCTAATGGTATGCACATCTGTTGAGCTGCTTGTAACTTACTTATCAGTATTCCCTTATCTCCCTTCTAAAGTCTCTTATATGTAGAGAATTTCTTGGTGAATTTGTTCATATGCACTTGCTGAAATTTAACATTTGTCTTCCATACTTTGGCAACCATACTGTTTCTAATCAGACGGTGGAACATATTTTCTACATTTTTGTACTTTCAACCCTGCAATCAACACCAAGATGTGTTTTTGTTTGTTGTGTGTCGGGCTGCTTTATATCCAGCACTGTGATACACTAGAGTTTTAGACCAATTGTGTCATGGCAACTTCTAACAAGCTAGTAAGCGCCAACCACTACTTTTGCACCAGGCTAAAACAAACAAGTTGATCAAAGAAATCTTAACATGTTTAGATATAGAAATGCACAGTCAAGGCAACCAAACAACCTTATCTCTGCCTGCAGTGATGTTATGCAAAGAATATAGGATTCTGATTAAAGTATTTTAGTGTTTCTGGTCCCAGATTAGATATTTCTTTCATATGTTTCAATATCAGTTTTAATCCTCTCTCTTTATCCCCTAGAGGCATCTGGGTGCCTTAAATATGCATTTTCATACCTTAACAAATCTGGATTTCTTTTAAGTGTAACCTTATCTCTGAATTTCCTGGTCGAATTACAACATCCCTGTAATGTTTTTAACCTTAAACTTACTGATGTGATGAAGTTAAGGTTAAGAGAAAGTAACAGCTTTTTGGTTTGAGAATTAGCTTCATTTTTTAAAAATGTCATATATGAACACCAAGCAAGAAACACAAAGAGAATGCGATCACATATTTTTAATAATTTGTTAAAAATATAACAATTTTTTATTATTTTAACTTTTAAGAGCAGTACAACAAAGCAGAGCAAAGCAACCTAAGTGTAATGGTGAATCTGGCCCTTAAACTGCAATGGATTTATCAGAGTGCTGTGTTAGTAAAATCAGTGCTATGTGAATAAAGGCAGTGAAAACTCAATCCCAGAGTCCCAGTGTCCATGCTCTAAGGCAGGCCTGCACAACATGCGGCCCGGGGGCCGCATGCGGCCCGCATGGGCTCACTGTGCGGCCCGCATGGGTTGAGTAGGTGGGCGCACTTTGCGGCCCGCGGGGGAATGAGTAGGCAAGCAGCGGGTAAAGGAGGGGGGCTGAGTAGGCGAGAGGGCGGGCAGTAGCAGGGAGTGAGTAGGCGAGCCGGCAGAGGGGGGCTGAAGAGGCAAGCGGTGAATCGGTGGCTGACCTGTTCTACTGATCTGGTCTGGCTCCCATCCCCTCTCCCAGGGCCAGCTCCAGGCACCAGCAAAACAAGCAGGTGCTTGGGGCGGCACATTTCTAGGGGTGGCATTCTGGCGCCGGCCATCATAGGCACCAACTCTGAGGCATGGAGAAAAAGTGCCCCCGCCGCCCCAGCTCGCCTCCGCCTGCTCCCCTGAGCGTTCCGCTGCCACTCCGCTTCTCCCCAGTCCCTCCCAGGCTTGCCACGCGCGAAACACCTGTTTCGCGCAGCAAGGCTGGGAGGGAGGACAAGCCGAGCGGCGGGGCACTCGGGGGAGGCGGCGGTGGTGGTGGAGCGGAGGTGAGCTGGAGCGGGAGTGGTTCCTCTAACCCCCATTACTTCCTGCGCCCCCCCACCCTAGCTCACCTCCGCTCCGCCTGCTCCCCTGAACACGCCGCTTCTCCGCCCTTCCTCGCCTGAGAGGGAGGGGGGAGAAGCAGAGCGGCAGCACACCTGGGGGAGCAGGCGGAGCGGAGGTGAGCTAGGGCGGGAGGTCGCGGGGGGCCCTGCAGGAAACAATGGTGGGGGGAAATGCGGCATGCCGGGGGAGGAGGCGGGGCTGGGGATTTGGGGAAGGGGTTCGGAAGGGGTGGAGTTGGGGCGGGGCTGGGGGCAGAGGAGCATGAAAGAAAAGGGGGCGGCAAAAAGCCTAGAGCTGGCCCTGCCCTCTCCAAGAGTTGCAGCTGTCTGGAGGTGCCTGCATTCCATGCCTTCCTCATTCACACCTCATTCATTCAACAGGGCAATTGATTACAAAGGGGGGATCTTATTCTACTTCTAGCAAAAAGACATTTTTCTTTTACCTTAATTATACTACCTTAGGGGCCCGCTATAACAAATTACCGAGGTTCAATACTGCTGTTTCGGTGGGGTGGTGCTGGGGAAGGAGGATTTGTTTCCGTGGGGCAGGTGGCGCTGGGTGTGTGTGTGTGTTTCGGCAGCGCTGGGGGGGGTTGTTTCCGTGGGGCAGGGGTGTGTGTTGTGTTTCGGGGGGGGGTTGGCGGCACTCGGGGGGTTTCAGCCCTCAGCTGTTTTCTTTGGAGTAATATGGCCCTCGCCGCTTTGCAAGTTGTGCAGGCCTGCTCTAAGGGCTCCCCCTGTGCTTGGGCCCCCAGCAGTTTTGCCTTAACATGCAATGGAGCAAAGGCAAATTACTAGCTCACTAGTCTGCACTCCAGAATCTTTAAAGAGCAATGACAGTTGGGGCAAATAATCTAACCAAGAAGAACTCACTGTATGTCCAGTCTCCCTCATACAACTGAGCCATTACAACTAATAAAACTGTTGCATGCAAGTTAGATGTACAGAAAGGGAGGGGGACTGGTTGCATTGATGTCACAATGGTCCCATTTGAGAGTTACCTGAGCTGTTGAACTGATCCCATTTAGCCATAAAAAATTAGACAACAACATAGCTTAATTATAACTAGTTACCTCAAACAGTTTAAGATTTCAATTAATTTCAACTATCATGGTAAATTTCAAGTATGTTATTCCACTAGGATTATTTGGAACAAAAACCAAATACTACTACATTTCTTAAAAAGCAATAATTTTATTAAATTATAATGCAAACAAATTAACAGATTTACTTATACATTCTCAGAAAATTCACTCTGCCCAAAGAGTAAGTGTTCTAAATTTGGGGAATTGGTTTTAAGTTTGTATTTCTTCCTAGACAAAATAAAGGTTTCAATGCACAACACAACTCTATCTTACCTATGGAGCTGCAACCAGATATATACATATGCACACCTACACGCACTTAGAATGCAGAATGGAAAGCTGCCGCTAAGAGTTTATGTTTTACGCTAGTTGTAACAGCACACCTACTTCAATAGTTTTCTGCCTTTCCCTCAGTAGTACACACATTACTCACCAGGAGCCCTACAGCTTGTCACAAAAGAGGGAAAGACTCACTAATATCTCTTTTCTATCTTTAAGTATTAGAAGCATAATTTGTTTTTATATAGTCAAGGAGGAAATAGTTCTCTATTACAAGTATTTCTGTCAGTCTTCTACTGGACAGTTTATTTTTCAAGTATAAAGTTACAGCATATTACACTAACTCAATGGAGTTCATTTGATACTCAAAGCTTACCTCCAAGTATATTGATGGTGGGTTATGCTCTCCTCCAAACTTGTCCAGCAGCGCCTCTATGTGTTCTTGTGTTAATTTAATCATCTGTTTGATATTCCATACCTAAAATATAAAAATATATTTTTATAAATCAAAAGAGGCAAGTCTGGGACAGATTTTAAAAAATTAAAAACCATGAACTCACATCTTAGTAGCTAAAAACTAAGTTAATCTTTAAGGCTGAAAAAAGTCAGACTCCATATTTTCCTGAAATGACTGTAAAATGTGTCCTAGACCCAAATTAATCATTTTTTCCAGAGCTTTGTTGACAGAAGTCCTTAATGAAAATACCGTTTCAAAGTATCAGTAACGTCAATCAAAAACAGCGACTGGTGGTTATTATGATCACCTACTATCTGTATCAATACAGTCTCAGTTCTGTTCCAATCTTAAACTAAACTGAGCAAAGACCCTTTCATTTTGAAATGCAGGAACTGCTAAAAACAAACATCTCTCTCATATATTACTTTTTATATGGAATCTCAAAACACTTTACAAAGTCTTATCTCCATTTTACAGATGGGGAAACTGAGGTAAAGAGGTACAGTGACTTGTCTAAGGTTACATATGATACAGTACAAAACGGAAATCTGATTCGAGGAGAAAACTAATCTATGTATGTTCAAAGTTTCAGGATTTTATTCATCTGTTCAAGTTGCTATGATGACACTTGCAAACCAACAAATGTCAAACATTCAGTGGTAAACTGGTAACTACTGTAATCACATGATCTAAATCAGGGGTCGGCAACGTTCGGCACCCGGCTCGCCAGGGTAAGCACCCTGGCGGGCCGGGCCAGTTTTATTTACCTGCTGACGCGGCAGGTTTGGCCAATCGTGGCCCCCACTGGCAGCGGTTCGCCGTCCCGGGCCAATGGGGGCGGCGACAAGCCGCGGCCAGCACATCGCTCGCCCGCGCCGCTGCTCGCTGCCCCCATTGGCCCGGGACGGCGAACCGCGGCCAGTGGGGGCCGCGATCGGCCGAACCTGCCGCGTCAGCAGGTAAATAAAACTGGCCCGGCCCGCCAGGGTGCTTACCCTGGCGAGCCGCATGCCGAACGTTGCCAACCCCTGATGTAGATATTTCTAATGTACCTATCACTGCAGTATTTAAATGCCCTGATCTTAAACACATTGTACACTTGGGGCTCTAGACTGCCTCAGTTTGCAAGTTTTTCCCACTGACTCTGCAACTTGTAACCACTGTTAGTATTATGAGATGACTATGAGTGCTACCTTGCAGTGTAAGTCATCACTATGCAATGTTCAATTGTTGAAGCTGAATCAATACAATAGTAAGTTCACTTACAGGAAAACAAGGTACTTTGATCCAGTAGAAGTTGAATTTTTTCACTTGTTGGACCAATAGACTCTGGCCTCCAGAAAAGAGATTTTTATTTTTCTTAGAATTACATTTGCTAGCAACTTAATGTGATGAAAACTGAGAAAGATTTAATTTCTACAAGCCAGAGAAAAAATACTTATCTGTTCTCTGAAGGTACCATTTATAAAAGTATCACTATTCAAAACTGATGCTATTACTTAGAGACTAGTGAGAAAGTAATATAGCTCAAAATTCAAAAGCCATCAGCTCCAGGATGGAGACTTGCATACTGCTTCTTCCAATAGAACCTCAGAGATTCCTGTGACCTGTCAGTGAAAGAAAATACAAATCCCTCAGTCTCTAAGGAGAGAGGTGGGATGGTAGTGATAGAACTTATACCGTTACGGAAAAAATTGCAGGGAATTAGCTTTATGTTCTATTAAAAGATACCAGTAACAGAACCCCAACTCCATGGATGTCTCAAACATTATACTAGAAGGTAAGTAAAGAGAAAAAATTTTCTGCAACACAGAACAAACATGTTAGAAGTTCAAAACACACCTAACTCATATTTTAATAAAGATATCTGTTATTCTGTAGTAGCTATTAAGGATGGGGACATCACTAAAATAAAACAAGGTGGAAAGACAGTTGGGTAACCTCTAGCCCAATACAAGTTTGAAGCACTGATGATAAATTTTGCTTCTTCTCATGAGGCCAATTTCAACAGAACTCTGTGGCTGCCTTCCAAATCTTAATATGTAAACTCAGTGGAGGCTGGCTGTAAAGACCAACTTTTTCTCTGAACTCACACAAATGTTTGTTAATATGACCATTACGTTGTATGCCTGCCAAGAAGCAGCAATGAGAGAGCTGTGCAATGTATACGTATCAAAAGAATCAGAAAGCTCTCTTTGTCATCTAATCTGTTCCAGATAAGAGAGTAGGGAGTTTTACTTGGTAAACTGATGGAATAAGATCCTGCTGGTTTGGATGTTGGGAAAGAAAGTTGGCAGGAGGATTAAGGTGGAATCCCAGCACTACCTTGGAAGATATTTAGCAACTGGATCTGTCAACAGAGCCCTAACGCTCACTCAAGACACAAGCTGAAATCCCCAGTATCAAAGGAGAACCTTCATTTAATAAGTCTGCTCATATATCAAGTGGTTGTAAAGGAGGCTGTTACACTAAAGTTTAATCACCTCATTGACATCCAGCATGGGCACTTGAGCTTATAAATGTAGTACACACAAAATAAAAAACTTATCTACCTCCAGTGTTAAATAGGGCTTTAGGTATCCTAAAACTAAGCAGTGATCACAGAGTTCCCAGCCCACACCACACTTTCTGTGAGCATGAGAAATCCACTTTACCACTATGGCTGGAGTCTCTAAGCTATTTCTCCACTCAGCTCTTGGTAGGGTTGGCAATTTTCAAGAGCACTTAAGTGACTTCAGAATCAAGTCTCGCTGGCTTTCAATGCAACTTTCACTTTTAAGTCATTTAGGCACTTCTGAAAATCCCACCCATGGATAACCACCTCATGGAGGGGCTTAGGACTCAACATCCCATTCCTACACTAACAGCATCACATACACAGGTGGTTGAGGAAGGAATCGCCAGTGGACAAGGTGGTCTCATTGGTTGTCCCTGTACTACCAGAAGCTTCCCCATTTCTCCTCTGTGGTGGCTGGAGGGTGAATGACTTCCTCCCTCCCTGCAAATATGTTTTCTACTTTGCATCCAGCAGTTACTATTCTGAGCTGCTTTTTCTCTCTCCCTCCTTCCAGTTCTACTGTTCTAGCTCTATTATGATAACAGAAGTAGCAGCACCAGAAGGAACAGAGGGCCTCTCTATTCAGCAGCTGATAGGCCGATAGAGAGCAGCCTTTCAGAGCCAAAAACTGGAGTTAAAGCCCTGGAAAAGCCCAAATAGCTGCCAAATGTACTCAAAGAAGTTGGGGAAGAGCACACAATAAGTTCTAAACAATGCCTTTTCACACTGAATCATGGGCCTTTTCTATTGGAATTGGTTTGTTTTCCTAGATGGTTGGAAGGAGTCTACCAGAAAAATTAACCTCTTGAGCTCTACTCCCTTAGGTGCATTACTTACAGGAGGAAAGGTACATGAACTCCCTCCCCATCCAGTAAGTAAAGAAAGCATCCCTCAAAAGTGGATCATTAAACGAGTTATGCAGAACTCCAATAGTGTGTTGCTTGCAGACACCACAAACAGATCTCTCTGGTATGCCCCACTCATGAAAGAGCAAGCTTCAATCTGAGACAACTCACATGGCTCTCACATTGATTGAAATACTGTCTACAATCCGGTTCTCTTTCCTGCCAAGTAACCAGTAATTAGACATATTGTGGTACACTGCCCAACCCCATCCTTGAAGAATTGCTTAACACAGGAGACAACACCCATTCTACCTTGCACATAGAGAGGATCCTATATGTTTGAATCAACCATTTCTGGGAATACTAGGTCAGTGAAAGCTCTGAACCTTACCTCATGGATCTTATGTCAAAAAAGCTGCATCTAGAGCAGTGGTCACCAACCAATCGATCACAGTCTCTGGTGGTTTAGCGTGGCTGGCGCTAAGGCAGGTTCCCTGCCTGCCCTGGCCCCACGCCGCTCACGGAAGAGGCCAGCGCGGCCGCGCGGCCCTGGGGGCAGGGGTGTGTGTGTCAGGGGTCTCCCTCTGCATGCTACTCCTGCCTGCAAGCACCGCCCCCGCAGCTCCCATTGGCCAGGAACAGGGAGCTGTGGCCAATGGGAGCTGCGGGGGCAGTGCTTGCAGAGAGGGGCAGCGTGCAGAGCCACATGCCCCTCCCCCTCGGGCCGCAGGGGCATGTTGGCCCCTTCCGGGAGCAGCGTGGGGCCACAGCAGGCAGGGAGCCCGCCTTAGCCTTGCTGCACTGCCAACCGGGAGCCACTCAAGGTAAGTGCTGCCTGGCAGGAGACCGCACCCCAGCCCCCTCCCGGAGCCAGCACCCCATACCCCTCCTGTACTCCGAACCCACTCTTGCACCCCAGCCCCCAGCCCCGAACCCCCTCCCAGAGCCAGCAATCCAAATCCCCTCCTGCACCCCAGCCCTCTGCCCCAGCCCTGACTCCCCTCAGAGCCAGCATCCCATACTACCTCCCGCACCCCAAGCCCCAGCCCTGAGCCCCCTCCCAGAGCCAGCACCTTGTACCCCCTACAGCACCTTAACAGTCTGCCCCAGCTCAGAGCCCCTTCCTGTACCCAAACTTCCTCCCAGAGCTTACATCCATCACCCCCTCCTGTACCCCAATTCCCTGCCCAGGCTCATCCCAGAGTGCCCTCCCACACTGCGAACCCCTCAGCCCCAGCCCAGAGCCTTTACCCTTCCCAAACCCCAACCCCCTACCCCAGCCTGGTGAAAGTGAGTGAGGGTGGGGGAGAGTGAGCAACGGGAGGGGGGGTGGAGTGAGCAGAGGGGGTAGATCCTGGGTTGCTCTTAAATTCAAAAAGTGATCTTGGGCATAAAAAGGTTGGAGATCACTAATCTATAGACTGTCCTAGAGAGAACAGCTCCTTAAGAATGAAGCCCCATGTATGTACAACCCATCTCAAGCAGGAAGCATGTGATTACTCAATCTGATTGAGGCAATCTGGAAGCCCCTGCCTAACTGCAGCTAGCCAGTGAACAAGCCACTACTTCATGGAGGCAGTCAATCACATGTAGCACAAGAACACTTGACTTTAACACTA